TGGAGCTCGATTGGGAGACAAGGTACGAGATTGCCGTGGGAGCAGCCAAAGGATTGGAGTACCTTCATCATGGGTGCGAGAGGCCTGTGATTCACAGGGACGTCAAGTCAAGTAATATTCTGTTGGACGAGTTTTTGAAGCCCAGGATTGCTGATTTTGGATTAGCTAAGATTGTTCAAGCCAACGTTGGCAAGGATTCCACTCATCTAGTCGCTGGAACTCATGGCTATATTGCTCCTGGTAAGTTTTACTTTTAACTGTCGTTGCCTTAACCACAGAAAAAGGTTGTTTCGTTATTCTTGATTATGATATATATAGTGTTGAAAATACAATTCTGGTGCAACAGAATATGGATACACGTACAAGGTGAATGAGAAGCGATGTGTATAGCTTTGGGGTTGTGTTAATGGAGCTGGTGACGGGGAAGAGGCCGATTGAACCTGAATTTGGGGAGAAGGAGGACATAGTGAACTGGGTTTGCGGCAAAGTGCAGCAAGAGAACAGGGAGAAAATAATGGGAATGGTAGATTCCAGAATCGCACAGGTTTACAGGGAGGAGGCTATGAAGGTTATGAGGATAGCTATTATGTGCACGGCCAGGGTTGCAGCACTAAGACCCAGCATGAGAAGTGTGGTTCAAATGCTGGAGGATGTTGAGCCTTGTAAGTTGGTGGGAATCGTGGTCGCCAAAGATGATTCTGCTAAGGAAGTGCCGGCTCATGAGCCTGCAAAGCTTCCGTAAGAGCTTTGGGTCAGAAAAATATAATAATGCAGAGTCGGGTAAGAGGAGGGAAGCATTGTAAAATATTGGCTACGAATCATTGTAAGATATTTGACGATGGAGAAACCCAGGAGGGCGGGATTAGAAAACAGGACTTGTATTGATAATAAGAGGTACTGAAGAATGGTTCCGAACTAGATTGGGTTTCAACTATTGAGTATGTGTTGTAATAATATTGCGTTTTAATTAGTCTGTCCCAGAATTAGCTTCCTATGAGTCTATTACTGGGCAGTGTTGAGTTTCCTGATACTCTTGTTGGATCTGTAGGAGTTCTCTGTTCAGCGTTTTTGTTTACCGCCTTAAATCCACGTGTGTTTGGGTGTTTACGGACCTGATTCACTTTTAACGAATCCAACCCGCCATGGCCCATGGGTCTTTCTATGTCTCAACGACTTTTACATCTCATCGTTTCCTGCCACGGCTGAAAAACAGAGGCCGACCATTGAAGATTAACCCAGTCCGATATATATGGTAACGCCAATAAAAGAGCGCCACTTTAACCGAGTTAGATATATATGGCAACGCCGACAAAGGAACGCCACTTTGGAAAAACGTTTAAATGTAAATATTTCCCTTTTAATATGAGCCTGACTTGTATTTACCGTAACCCAGAATGAAGCTCAATATGGGCATTCGTTGCCTATGTCCATTTCAATATGGGCTACATGTAGCGTTGCATTTGGGCCGAGCCCAATAATAGGCGGACTTTCAATATGGGTCTGACTTGTATTTACCGTGACCCAAAATGAAACTCAAGACGGGCCTGACATGCCTTGCCTATGTCCGTACCAACATGGGCTACATGTAGACATTCATCTGGCCCGAACCCAATTATCTGTGGCCTTTCAATATGGGCCTGACTTCTATTTAGCGTACTCAAATAAATCTCACTACGGGCCTGACATGAGTTGCCTTGAGCGACACATGTCCATATCAATATGGGCTACATCTGGACATCATATTTGGGCCTTACCCAATGACTTGTGACCCTTCATTATGGGCCGAACTCCTTAACCCAACTCAAGGCTGAGCATCCGCTCATGTGGGCCCGTATTTAACTTCACAATCAATTGAGTTGGGCTCGGTCCATTGGTTTGTGATGCCAAAATAAGATAGTCGTGTTGGAGTTAGGAAAATAAAAAAAAAATTTGCCTGGGGACTTATTAGAGCTCTCACTTCCTAAACAACCGAGCCCTAAAAAGAGGAAGGCGGTTAATGTGCTTGCGATATTAATGTAAGAACTTTTACATTGCATTACCTGGCGATGTATGCAACTAGAAAGGCCCCAGGAAATTTTAAATTCAAGCATCGACTTTCAGAAAATAATATCGGGAAAATTTCATTCCACCTTTAAATAGGCCTATTTGCAACAAGAATTTTCGTCATTGAGGTATAAATTTCAAATGATTTATAGCAATAGTTTTACTAACATCGTAAAGAATAAAAACACAGTCTCGCATACTCTGATTATCCTGAAGCATGTTTGTAAATTGAAAATAACCTGGCAAGGCATAGGACCAATGTTAGTGATCGTATCGGGATAGAAGTGTTTAAGTTTTAAAAAGCATGCTACCCTTGACAACTTTTAAGGTAATCCCAGGCTACCAGGGAAAAACAAAACAAAGATTAATGATTTCAGTTTATTTTTTTGCCACCAAATGGATATATATAAGAAATTCTACTTTTGAAGTTACTTAATAATGGGCGAATTATTCAAGCAAGACGAAAAACGTTACCCACAATGACATCTAAAGAACAGCAATATCTGTGGCCTTTCAATATGGGCCTGACTTCATTTAGCGTACCCAAATAAATCTCACTACGGGCCTGACATGAGTTGCCTTGAGCGACACATGTCCATATCAATATGGGCTACATCTGGACATCATATTTGGGCCTTACCCATTATGGCCGAACTCCTTAACCCAACTCAAGGCTCATCCGCTCATGTGGGCCCGTATTTAACTTCACAATCAATTGAGTTGGGCTCGGTCCATTGGTTTGTGATGCCAAAATAAGATAGTCGTGTTGGAGTTAGGAAAATAAAAAAAAAATTTGCCTGGGGACTTATTAGAGCTCTCACTTCCTAAACAACCGAGCCCTAAAAAGAGGAAGGCGGTTAATGTGCTTGCGATATTAATGTAAGAACTTTTACATTGCATTACCTGGCGATGTATGCAACTAGAAAGGCCCCAGGAAATTTTAAATTCAAGCATCGACTTTCAGAAAATAATATCGGGAAAATTTCATTCCACCTTTAAATAGGCCTATTTGCAACAAGAATTTTCGTCATTGAGGTATAAATTTCAAATGATTTATAGCAATAGTTTTACTAACATCGTAAAGAATAAAAACACAGTCTCGCATACTCTGATTATCCTGAAGCATGTTTGTAAATTGAAAATAACCTGGCAAGGCATAGGACCAATGTTAGTGATCGTATCGGGATAGAAGTGTTTAAGTTTTAAAAAGCATGCTACCCTTGACAACTTTTAAGGTAATCCCAGGCTACCAGGGAAAAACAAAACAAAGATTAATGATTTCAGTTTATTTTTTTGCCACCAAATGGATATATATAAGAAATTCTACTTTTGAAGTTACTTAATAATGGGCGAATTATTCAAGCAAGACGAAAAACGTTACCCACAATGACATCTAAAGAACAGCAATATGCTTCAAGCAAGAACAGTTTTGAGGAAATAGTAGGATTCTCCATTTTCATTATTAGTGAAATATCACGGAGCACTGACAAGAAAAAGTTGTTAAAATATTGGGAAAATGGGATTGTGATTTGGAGGAATAATTTTGCAAACACCATAATGAACACAAGCGCACCCATAATGCCTTCATTCTAAACCACATAACTTGTTTCTCCGTTAATGCTACTAACTATTATATATTATGCTTCAACTTCTATTTTGCTATAGCATCCCATCATGCTCTTCACTGTTATCTAATGTGAAAATGACAACTAATCACTTATCCCATATATAGCAACTGACTCAGCCTTTCATTCATCTTTTGATGCAAATGCGAGAGAGAAAAAAAACCCAGTTACTCCATTAACATATAATAATCTTACATATAAGTATTAACAAAAAAAAAAAACCTTTCAAAAAAAAAATATTGGAAAGGATATTACCATAAAATAAGAGCTAAACCCTTTAAGTATGCCATCTGTTAGAGAACTTCACTTACACATACACGCATGGATTTGTGGGCGAGAGATGGGAACCATTTGATGGATAGTGGCTTTATCTTTTTTTTTTTTTTTGGGGGTGGGATATTCTGTGAGAAGAGCATGATTACGATGAGACTTTAACACGAGGCCAATTATATTTAACGAGAATAAACTATATATTGCAAAGGCACTACAACGAAGCTCATCTTTATTCTTATCCCATACAAATAATCAAAGTAAATAACCCCAAAAAATGTAAACATATATCGGTGCAATATGCTGGGGCGCGGCCTTTCGCGGCATAAAATTAGGGAATTAGCTTATCAGAAGGTGTGCGGTCATCCCCGAGACTTTTTAAGTTAAATCCTTTTTTTTTTTGAGCGATTAAATATTTATTATGTTATAAAACATTCCATAGTCCTGGTTTGGAATATAAGCCTCTTTTTTTTTTGGCCGATGGAATATAAACCAAATCATGCATCAAACAATGGATGTTTATTTGTTATAAAAGCTTAACTTTATATTTTATTATCATTCAGCACTTTCAAAACGAAATTACTAGTAATTGAAAGCAAAAGCGAGTGATAAAGAATTTCCACGTGGATATTTTTGTAGACATCCTTCTATGCCTTATTATTTATTATTATTATGATTATGATTATGATTATTATTTTGTGAAATTTCTCTGTGAGATCAACATCGCGCTTTTGGAGAGTGGGCATCTTTGCTTTGTCCTTCCATTATTGAGCACTCAAATATAATACACATACCAGAGATTCCCATCAATGATACATGGACTCGACTCAACAACCCTTGGCCTTCTGGGCTTTCCCAGCAGGGGCCCACCAAACTATTGCAGACCTTCTCTTGTGATACTTGTGTGGGTCCCACACGTGTCCAGTCAGCTGTCAGCCTAATAAAATGTTAGGAACAACCAAAAAATTCTCCTCGCCATGTGAGATCTCCATGGCAGCTGAAGCCGCTACTTTCATTTCGATCAAACAAATTCTGATTAAAAGCCAATGTTCTCGCACAATAGAAGTGAACTTCTGGTTGCTTATCACCAGTACGGTTATTTTTTAAATCGTAAAATACAAATAAATATCTTATACAGTGAAACCACTAACTATTGCACTACGAGGCACCAAGGATCTAGTTCCTGCAAATATATAGAGATTTGACACAGCGTTTTCAAACTAAAACCCCATTACTGCCACAGCTCTATGAGCTCAAGCAACCTAAAAATGGATTCACAACCTTTAAAGCTTTTGAAGCAGAGATAGAAAAGAAAGAAAAATGCTCGACAAAGGGTAAAAGGGAGAGGAAAAGGACAACCTTATCCCAGCATCTTTATTCTCCACTCTTTGTTCTGAGATTAAAACAGAATCCTTTCTCTGGTTTTTTACCAGAATGGTCCCCAAGGTTGGTTTGACGCCTGGTTTGATCATTATCCTCAGAGTAGACACTGCAGCAATGTGTTGCTCTTATTCCTCAAAAATTGCACTTGCTTCGCCGAGTACACGCTATCTGCATAAATTTGCTCGGGGAAAAAGAAGAAAAAAACAGGCCACATACGAACAAACACGTTAATGAAGAAAAATGGTCCCTCCTCCCTTCCTATATCCTAGATCTATAGAGGGAAGAATATGGTCCTAGTCCCTTAGGAAGAAAATCCTTTGAAACAGATTAAATTATTATTATGATGCTTACCTTATATTGAACTACAAAAAGACAGGATTTATATTCTCAGTGTTTAAAGCTGCAGGCAAAAAGAAAGAGGACGAAAGAAAAGAGTGAAAAATTGATGGACTTAGCCGTGCATACAATTTAGTAATAGACACGCTAATAAGAATATAAATGAACTTAGTCGTTCCTAGGCACTAAATGTAGTTTTTTGTTTGTTTACAACCCAAAATAATTAAAGTCAGATATATCTTTCAGATTTTCCGTGGGAATCATAGAGATGGATCGCACCTGATGGAAAGTAAATATGATTTTCTCCCAAAAGAAAGAGAGTAATCACATCGAGAGGTCCTGCTCACTGAAACATGCGGTGATTAAGATCGGATGTAGTTTATTCTACGTCCTGTATTTGTGAGCGTAAAGTGCTTCTGTTGAAGTTATTCTTCAAATGAGCTAGTGGAGCATAACCATAAAGCCTCTTTACCAAAGATGTTCACTCTCACTCCCTCTCTCTGTGCAACAGCTAGAACCTGCTTTTTGATCATCAAGGCTTGTTAATGCATGCTGCCCAATATCGATCCACTCAAACATTCCATCTTATATACATCTCTCCCTCATCTCCTTCCTTGCAACCTTTACCGTAACTACCAGCGTACGGACCCGTCTCTCTGTCCTCGCAACATGGATCGCCACTCCATCTTCTTTCTTTTTGGACTCATGTTTTCATTGTCTCTTGCATCACAAGCCATCAGCGACGGACATTTACAGTTTTTTTCTTTAATGAAGAAGTCTCTCTCAGGGAAATACCCGATAAATTGGGATGTCACAGAAGGAAAACCTATCTGCAACTTCACAGGAGTTGTGTGCAACAACCAAAGGGAAGTGATCAATCTTGACATCTCCGGTTGGTCACTTGCCGGAAACTTCCCTCCAGATATATGCTCCTATCTGCCAGAGTTACGTTTTCTACGTCTCGGCCACAATCGTTTGAGAGGAAAATTCCTTGATAGCATCATCAACTGTTCTCACTTGGAAGAGCTTAACATGAATCATGTGTATCATACAGGAACCCTTCCAGATTTCTCACCTATGAAATCTCTAAGGATCCTGGATTTGTCATACAACTCCTTCACAGGTCAGTTCCCGATGTCGGTATTTAATCTTACCAATCTTGAGGTGCTTAACTTCAATGAGAACGCTGGTTTCAACTTATGGGAGCTGCCGGAGGATATGTATAGGATGAAAAACCTCAAGTCTGTGATCTTGACGACATGCATGGTGCGTGGCCGAATCCCTGCATCCATAGGAAACGTTTCGACTCTGGTTGATCTTGAATTGAGTGGAAATTTTCTCACGGGTCAAATTCCTGCAGAGCTCGGAATGCTGAAAAACTTGCAGCAGCTTGAGCTTTACTACAACCAACTTATTGGCAATATACCGAAGGAGCTAGGCAATCTTACGGAGCTCAGAGACTTGGACATGTCAGTCAATAAGCTGTCGGGAAGTATCCCAGAATCTGTGTGTCGTCTTCCCAAGCTTGAAGTCTTGCAGCTATACAACAATAGTCTCACAGGAGAAATCCCAGGTGTAATAGCAAACTCAAAAACCTTAAGAATATTATCTCTTTATGACAATTTTTTGACCGGAGAAGTCCCAAGAAAGCTGGGTCAGTTCTCAGGAATGGTAGTTCTAGATTTATCCGAGAACAAACTGTCTGGTCCGTTGCCAACAGAGGTTTGCAAGGGAGGTAAACTGATGTACTTCCTTGTTCTGGATAACAAGTTTTCTGGAGAGCTACCTGACAGTTATGCAGAGTGCTGGACAATGTTAAGGTTTCGAGTCAGTAATAACCATTTGGTTGGCTCAATTCCCGAAGGGCTCCTTGGTCTCCCGCACGTTTCCATAATTGATTTGAGTAGCAATAATTTAAGTGGTCCAATTTCCGAGACTATTGGAAATCCTAGAAACTTGTCAGAACTATTCATACAGAAGAATAGGATTTCAGGCGTTATTCCTCCGACCATCTCTCGAGCTACCAATCTGGTCAAAATTGATTTCAGCAACAACCTTTTGTCCGGTCCAATACCTTTCGAAATCGGCAATCTTAAAAGGCTGAATTTGCTGATGTTGCAAGGGAATAGGCTGAATTCTTCCATCCCCAGCTCACTTTCCTTATTGAAGTCCCTCAACGTTCTTGATCTCTCCAACAACCTTTTGACCGGTAGCATCCCTGAAAGCTTCTCTGATCTGCTACCGAACTCGATCAACTTTTCAAATAACTTGCTCTCTGGTCCAATTCCTACATCGTTGATAAAAGGAGGTTTAGTCGAAAGTTTCTCAGGGAATCCTGGTCTGTGTGTACCTGTCTATGCTAACTCATCGGATCAAAATTTTCCCATATGTTCAAGGACTAGCAACAAGAAGAGGCTAAGCACTTTCTGGGTAGCAGGGATTTCAGTGGTTTTGATCATAACTGGAGCAGCCTTGTTTTTGAAACGTAGATGCAGCAAAGAGAGAGCTGCAGTGGAACATGACGAAACACTGTCTTCGTCATTCTTCTCTTATGAAGTGAAGAGCTTTCACAGGATAACAATTGACCAACGGGAGATCGTGGAGGCCATGGTCGAAAAGAATATAGTGGGGCATGGAGGGTCTGGTACAGTGTACAAGATCGAGTTAAAAAGCGGTGAATTTGTTGCTGTGAAGCGGCTATGGGGTCGAAAGTCAAAGAACTCGGTTCCAGATCAGGATAGTTTAGCTTTAGACAAGACATTGAAAACTGAGGTGGAGACCCTGGGAAATATAAGACACAAGAACATAGTGAAGCTGTACTGCTACGTCTCGAGTTTGGATTGCAGATTGTTAGTTTACGAGTACATGCCAAATGGTAATCTTTGGGATGCTCTACACAAAGGTTCGGTCCACTTGGATTGGCCTACTCGCCATAAGATTGCACTGGGGACCGCACAGGGTCTGGCATACCTCCACCATGATTTGCTCCCTCCTATAATTCATAGAGACATCAAGTCAACTAACATCCTTCTCGACGTTGATTACCAACCCAAGGTTGCAGATTTCGGGATTGCCAAGGTATTGCAGGCAAGAGGAGGAAAGGACTCCACATCTACAGTTATTGCAGGCACATATGGTTACTTGGCACCAGGTAATTGTCTGACCCAAGTATGAAGTTGTTATTTTTACATTTCAATCATAGTAATGTTAAATTTAATGGCTATCTTCAGTTTAAAAAGGGGGGGAAAAAAAAACAGAATCCTTTGTGAAGCTAAAGGAGTTTGGATACTATGTTGCTAAATTATGTCTAATAGCACATAAAAAAACTGAACCAGGAAATATGGAACAGAAATTGCTTTAAATCGAGTGATAGTGTGCTTTTCTAATTATATCCTGTACTTTGTTCATTTTTTTTCACTGAATAATTAATTAATTATACTTTTTTGTGCCTGTAACAGAATTTGCTTATTCTACCAGAGCAACTGTCAAGTGCGATGTCTATAGTTTTGGGGTGATTTTAATGGAACTGATAACTGGGAAGAAGCCTGTGGAGGCAGAATTTGGAGAGAACAGAAACATCGTATACTGGGTTTCAAACAAAGTCGACAGCAAGGAAGGGGCTAGCGAGGTATTAGACAAGCGATTAGAAGGGTCTTACAAAGAGGAAATGATTCAGGTGCTCCGAATTGCCATCCGTTGCACCTACAAGGCTCAAGCTCTTCGACCGACCATGAAAGAGGTAGTTCAAGTGCTGATTAAGGCAGACCCATCTAGCAAATTGTCCAATAAGACCAAAGAAACATCAAATGCCACTTTGACAAAGAACTCATCATTTGAACTGTAGCCAAGCGAGGGCCTAAAGGGTTAAAGAGGGAGCTATACTGCAACTAGATAAGCAGTCTCTCTCGTAGTAGTTGAGAGATGCATTAAACATAACGACTTACTTTCATCCTCCCAAGACAAGTAATTTGTAAATTCTATCTCTAACCCGGACACTTTTCTCTCTGCTTCCTTTTATCTATACTATTTTGACCTTGTAAAAACTGAGATTTGATTACTATCCATGCTAGTGTAATACGCATTAGCCATATTTCATACACCCACTTGACATCATTCACCAACTCTCTCTGACGGATTCTGTTTTTTCTACTTTATTGCGGCTTTCTTTTCCTTCATTCTTTTTCCTTTCTTCCCCCAATATATGGTGGATAGAGCTCCAATAAAGGGAGAATATGTTGGTGAGGGCCAGAAGGTTGTCACTTGCTATTTGTAAGTAGCTCTTTATATTTTTCTTTTATAAATTAACAAATGGGTCCTAGATTCTAAATTCAATATTATGACTCTATTTTTATGCGGGGTGGCCCTAATCAAAGCTATCCACTTGAAAAAGATAAATGGGATGATTGATTGAGGAGCATCTTTCTTCATTTTGGCCAAGGTAAGAGATGAAAGTAATCGCATTTAAGCGATCCTTTTTCCTCTTCCTTTCTTATATATGGTTGTTTTGTCAGAATTGATGTTTAGGGGGCGGAGGCACCAATCATGCTTCACCGTAGATAGTGAGCCACGAACCTCCACTTACAAGTTGAACTCGTCTTTATATTATTGAAGGATTTTCCAGCAAGAGACTAGATTATTCCAATGCAAGGACAACACTTATAAAATAGCTCTCGCTACTAGTTTTGTGGGGACTGAATGACGCTCAAACAGTAGAATATCAACATGCAAAGAGTTAAAGCTTTCGATCACAAGGCAGAAGAACTCTGTACAATTTATCACAAATATTCAAGATGTTTGTATCAATAGAACTGAGTAATGCACCAGTAGAACAAGAATTAGTGGGTGAATCGAAGATAAAATTTCATGTATTGAAAGTCTATCATGGTTTAAAAGCAATTTACCACATACACACAAAGCATAAAAAGTAAAAACACGCTTACAACCTAGCACTCGTTGCAAAAATGTTTGCCTAGTCACACGTGCGTGTCCAACTTCAATCTCTAATTGTACATGCATGTGCTTTGCGAGTGGCTGGTGGGGTCACGTTAGAATGAGATTCACAACATAACATTCCTTTTGGATTGGTGGAGAGGCCATTAAAAAATAAAGGCGAGAAGCTTCTACAAGAGAATGGTTCTTAAATAAAAAGGCAAGGGCAAATAGTATCAATGCATGCTTGGCCGTGAGACAGCCATGTCCTCCGTATGTACAAGAAGCAACAGAGAACAGACACAAGGACACCAAGCAAGCAGATCCTATTATAATTTATGCATAGTCCGACAGCATCCGTGACAAAAACAAATTCACAAGTTCTTTTATTCTTTTCTCGTCTAATCAACAAATGACTTACCGCTGAGTAAAACAGAAGCTGCAAATTAGAAATTCTTGATATTCATTTCAAGTTTGAGCAAACTTGTTCGTACAGCGGGACATTGGTAAATACCAATTCAAATCCACTTCCGATAACCGACCAATTCCTTGCTCATACATCAAGGAGTTGTTGAATCTGAATTCAACTCCACTGCCAAAAATACGATCAACGAGTTATAAATTAAAAACCGCAGGCTAGATATAAAACTTAATAAACAAACGAAAATGATGCACTATGAAGACAATAATTGTCAACCTGACTAGTGACACTCAAAAACATTATTTACAGAACTGTAGAAATGAGGAATTATCTACTAATATGATGACTATCGTGAACTGAGCGTACCCCACCCTCAGTCCCAGTTAACGCGGTTTAATTTAGTTGGTAATAATTTCAGGTGACAGTGGGTGATGAATTTGGCAATGTGGACATCACTGGATATGACTTCGACTCTCCAGGCACTTGAAAATTGAATAAGCCGAGTGTGTCATTTTGTTTCAGATGCCATATAAGTGTGTTCACAGAATAAAATATTAGCGGCGCACTCACATCGAGAGAATTTAAAATTGGACTAAAATTTTTCAGATATCTTTTCCCCAGACACGACGCAAAGTGTCAAACATGTGATGTACGAAAAAAATAAATACAAAACTTTAACAGATTCTTAAAGGCAGAGACTGTCCAGTGCTCTAAAGTACAACTAACGAAGAAATTAGTCTATGTAACAGGGAAAATTCATACCAAAGAGCTAAGACGATGGTTGCTATTAAGTTAGGCGACTTGAATCCAGACTCGCATCAATCACAATTGTTAGCACCGAGGAGTTGAGGAACCTACCGAACACAGGCAGAATCACGAGTCACGACGATGTGGAGGGAAAGAGCCTTCCTATCGCGAGGTGAAACGAACACGATGTCCACTTGCCACTTGCGATGGAGCGCGACGCATATTTATACCCAGGAAAAAAACAAAAAGTAAAGGGGAAAGGCGCGAAGGATAAAAATTAAAATGATGGGTTTTTCACCCCAAAAAATGACGGTTTCAGTGACCACGCTCTCATTTTTGGGCCTGTTCAGAAGCAACCCGAACCTTTTTTGTTTTTAGGCCCAAGGAACCCGAGCCCTGTGTTTAGGCTGAACCCATTCGCCTTTTTTTGCCCCCCGGCCAATCCAAAGCCGCATGTTCTGCCATGATGGTTTAGACCTTCTTAATTGCAAATTATGAAGCTTAAAAAAAATTTAAGAAAGTTATAAGGCACACCTCAATATGCTCATAAATATTCTCTTTTTTTTCCTGTAACATGCCAAGTATGCTTATATTATTTTATTTAATAATCATTCCTCTTTTTATCCATTCTTATTCTATTTTTTCCTCCTAAAATGCCTGGGGAGCCACACAAGAGGGGGAGGGATTGACTCATATATGAGCGGGGCACGCTCCGTCTTTATAATAATTTAGCCTAATTAATACAGACAAACTACACGTGGCATCTTATGTATTTCTTTTGGTTCTAATTATATGCTACAGTTTTAAAGTCCTGCTTAGTTTTAAATATTGAGTAAAGGTGCGGTAGTTAAATCTTTTTTGAAAAACATTGATCCTCCATATTACAAAATAAGTTATTTTAATTCTTATATAGCAGTTTATTGTGGTTGTTAATTCTAAGGAGGGACAAAATTAAAAAAAATATTACCTCTAGTTTTTAATATATAAGTTAATTGACTAGTTTAAGCAAATTAAAAAAATAATCTGAGTTAGTTATTTATAATAAATCAGTGTTATTTTTTCTGAAATACTCTTACGAATTATATGTGTCAGTTAGAACTACTACTTGATGAAATATTTAACATATGCAACTATCATAATGACCACATTGAAAAAGAATGAATAAATATGATAGACAATATGAATTTGTGTCTTATATTTAAAATCAAATTGAATGTTAAACCATCTCTTATATTAATGATAGGAGATAGTATTTTTCTATAAGTTTAATAACACCAATTAAGAGCTATTAGTACAAAATTAGTTAGTTTCATCTATAGACTACAGAGGGAGTAGATAGGAAGAGAAAACAAAACGCAAAGATACCGTTCATAAATTAAAAGCCGCCATTACAGTTGAGGTGTTATTTGGCCGGCTTCTCTCCCTGCAATTACTTTCCTCCCCTCCACCTTTTCAGTCCTGTTCATGTTTATTATCTTCAAACACACGAATACAACGTATCACATATTAAATGTTTACCAATGCACATTCATTATTATTCGGCCTTCAATTCAATGCATTTAACAGGCAACACCAACTGTATCCACGGAATTTATGTCCCATTGTCTCTTCCCTTTTCTTTTTCAATTTTTATAGGCAAACTATTTTCTGAAATTATCCTCTAATGCAACCACTAATAAATTTATTAAATTCATTACAAAATTCAAGTGATTCTTGATATTACCCTCGTCAATTGCACTAAAGCACAAAATTACATTTTTGTCGCAAAAAAAAAAACAACATCACATTAATTTATATTCTTTCGCCATCCTCGTCGACTATGGATATATATGAAAAAATTATTTAATACTCATAGAGACTATTAAAATATCTTGTAAAAAAAAGAAAAAAGAAATCTTATGGAAGGGCTTCGATAATAAGCACCAGAGTGAGTATAATACTGGCATTATCAAACAATCCGGACTCAATATTTGGTGTCTATGACTGAAGGATATTTATCCCAGCCTTGGTAATTTTCAATTTACAATCCCCGGGCTTAAAACTGAGCATCGCGGCCCTCGTTTTGGGTATTTTTTTTGGATCTAAAACAGAGCATGAAACGGAAAAGCTTTTCATCCGGGGGAGACATAAATGAAGAACGTCAGGACGGCAATTCCATTTATTTAGCTGTTTCACTAATTACCCTCATCCACCTTCCTGCCTTCCCTTTTAATGCCCCTCTTTCTGCTCTCCCAGCCTCAGCCTCTCGCGAAAATTTCAAAGCAACCATCAATAAGTCGTGTCATTGTACTAATAAACAGTTTATTCTAGAGTAATATGCTACTCTTACTCTCTCTAGCCTGTATTATAAAAGTTATTTTATTACTTACTTAAGTAGATTAAAAAATCTGATAAAAAAATAGATTAAAAATAGATAAATTACTTAATTATAACACAAAATGCCATCTTTAAAACACTCTAATATAATATTATATTACATATTAGTTTACAAATTAGATAAATTAATTTAAAAAATAAAAATATAAAAAATAAAATGAATTGAAGTTTTATATCTGATTGAATCTTTCAACTTTAGGAATTTTTTTTTTTGGGGGAGCTGTCTCCTAAGAGACGTTTGACCATTTCAGCCCTCCCTGTGGAAGCATAATAGTATTGTCACCTCGACTTAAAGATGCTCTTTTTCACTGACTGTGCTCCAGGTGGTGGGATTTTAATTTTAAGCAAATATCTTTTAATTTGGGATTCTTGGGAAGAATTAATGATGGGCTCCGCGCAATTGGAGAAACATGGATCGTGGACTTCGCATGATTTACATCATAATTTAATTTGCCTGGAAGCCAAGCCACAAGGTAGGGCCTTTTCCTGATCCGATACAGTACATCCTGAATAAAAGCTCCATTCATTACGCAGTGTTTTCGACCCGGTAGCAACACATCACAAGCCTCTATTTTCATAATCTCACCTGTATATAATAATTGAATGTAACTGAAGATAAATTTATTTCTAATTCATATTAATCAAATCAAAGCTTTTGAAGAAAATCACTGATCATTATTATAAGAGTTAATTTAACTTGAGGCACCTCATAAGGTTTGGAACTTTGGATGATTTAACGGGGGAGAAAGGACAAAGCAAAAGCAAAACAAAAAGGGGTTGTTGACATCGGGGTTGGGGGAAGGCTTTTTAATGAGAGGGTATGAAACGGGTAAAGTGGAGAGAGGGAAAAGACAAAACGGGGGAGCATTAGGATTTGGGGGGCACAGCAAACAAATATGAGAAGAGTTGAAAAAAGCCTTTCACCCTTCCCCTATTCCCCAAATTCTAAAAACAATTAAAACTGAAATTTGACTCCCCCCCTCTCTCCTCCCACCAATCAGAATATAGCCATTCTGGACAGGCAAGCCACCGCCTCCTCTCCCTCTCTCCAAAACCCTCCGATGAAGACAGACAAGTCTCCTTCTTCCACACTCACTGCGGCAGGGGCCTCCCTTCAGTGCGTCCCCTGTTTCTTCTTGCAATGGCTCCTCTTCAGGACATGCTTCTCTCCTCCATCTCATGCATTGACCTTTTTGCCCTTCTACCCCTTGAGGTATCTCCTATTGTTCCCTTTGTAAATCCATGCTCCTTTTTTTCCATTCATAGATGAGAGCTCTATAATGTAGCTCTCTCTCCCCCTCTCCCCCCCCCCCCCCACCCTTACCTTCTCATTGCGTGGAAAAAGGCAGACAGGATGGAGCCAGGCAAAGTTTCTCTATATATAGTTATATGTCAATATAGTTTTTTTCCCCTTCTGTTCAGAAGCTGCAAAAAACATTTTTGCTTCTTTTCTTTTGGGTATTTCTTTTTCCTTTTCGTTCAACTCTTTTAAAGGAAGATTGAGGAGCATACAACTCGTCATCGATCGTGGGTTCTCCAAATGCCGAGAAGTAGGGAGGGATTTTGATGACTTATTGACTTCCCCTGTATGTACCCTTTAATGCTGTACCAATCCTATGGGCTAATGATCATGATGATGTATGCTTTTCTTCATTTTTTCAATCCACTCATTTCTTTACTTCCCTGTCCTCCCTTTTAAGCTTCCGATTTTCAGTTTCTGGCATTACGCGTTTTTCTGTCTTTTTGCATTGATCGCTGGAGTGTTTATTTATCCTGTGAGGCGTCTTGAATGTGGGTTTTATATTTGAAGCCAATAAGGTGTCAGGGACGTCCTGAATGTAAAACGATTCCGTTGGGCTGTTGGTAGGATACGGACCTGTGAAAAGTTAGGTGCTTTCCGCTTCTCTTTGGAAATAGTGGCCAGAAAGGGGGAACAAAATCATCACAAGATTCAAATGTGGTCCAAAATCTCACGGACCTATGAAATTGAAATTCTGATCATTCCCCTTTTATGCACCAGTGGAGCGGTTTCAGTATGATTTGACATTAGTGGGACTCGCATAATCTTATTCTTTGTTTGTGAGCTGTGACTTGGATGGTTTGGTTGTGTACCTTTTATCATTTCATGAAGTTTATAAGCTTCTGATTCTTACAAGTATTAGGATTGGAGTTAGAATCCTGGGGTTAAACTTTGGATTCCTCACCCCTTCAGAGGAAAAGTAAACAAACTAAAGCACAGAAACAAAGAAGGGTATGTCATCAATCAAGCCGAATTTAGCTGTATCGTTGGATAGAACTTCATCTAATCAACTGAGCCAATCCTCGTGGCTGATCATTATTCTTAAACCTCTGTTTTGCATTTGCTTAGTTCAAATGATAAAAATTATAGTCCTTCCATTCTCTACAGTGGCCGACTGACTCGTGACTCATTGCATAATTTTGCTGCTTCAGCAAAGCAACTTCCATAGTTTGCTAGTTACAGGGGTTGGAATCGGCTCTCTTTAATACCTGAACTCAACTCCGTAATGACTGCTGTCTTTTCACTGGGCTGTAATACATGCATACTGTCAAATGCTTCAATCATATTTGAGGTTTCAAGTAATTTTCTTTGCACGGCAAGCAATTTAACTTTCATGGATTACAGACTTGGGTGAATTTCCCCGCAATAAATCATATTCATGCGTTTCAAAAGAAATATATTGTCTTTTGTCTTCCTCCAATGCACAGGATTATAAACTAAGTGGGCCATTTGCATTTACATAAGGCTAGGATAGATTGAGTGCAGTTGTGAATA